CTGTCGGAGCTCCACATCTCTGGCCTGGCCTGTTTGGCTGCTCACCCAGGGAAGGAGGTTGGAGGGCTGCTTCTAAGACACGACGCCCCTTAGGGCAGAGCTTCCCAGGAATAACCGCAGCTAACGTTATTATGTGCCAAAGTGAAAAGTGCTTCCTTAATGGGTGCCAATACTACATGAACTCTAAGAAAACTCGTTGCCGTCGAGTCGATTCCGACTCAGAGCCACCACGAAGGAGTAGAGCTGCCACAGAGGGTTTCCAAGCAGCGCCTGGTGGATTCAAACTTCCGATCTTTAGGTTAGCAGCCATGGCTCTTAACCACTACCCCACCAGGGTTTCCCTGAACTCTAAGAGGTAGGAACTATTGTCAATCCCTATTTTTCGGATGAGGCAATAGCTAAGTGATTTGCCTGAGGTATTAAGTGGCCCAGGAGTCAGACTGTGGCAGTCACATTTCACCCACGCCGAACCGCATCCACCGCAAAGCTGCTTGTGGATAATGACTTGTTTTCTCATTAACATCTAATCTCTCTCTCACTCTCTCTCACACACACACATCTGATAAACGGGTTCACAGTCCCAACCCCTATGTCTACTTCCCACCTATGAAATCTCACATGCTGATTATTCAGCTGGTCAGACTGTAGATTCTCAGATGACATTTTGTTGGAGGCCGGGCTGTTGGATATTGTATTAATGAGGATCAATAATAGATTTCTGGGAGCAAGCTAACAGTTTCATTTAGAATGCTTCTCCCATTTCACAACTGGTGCCTTGATTTTTGTGGCTGGAGCGGTTCAGACACAGTTGAAATCCTTCACTGTCTTTTTTTTCCTCTTAAACTTGATTTACTCACTGCCCCCCTTTTAATTCTTGCATAAAAAATTGGAACTGTAGCCCAAAATGTTGCATTAAGATTACACAGAGATGGGAGTAAAAATTACTTCCTCTGAGAAGCCCATGATAAACTGCTTAGAGAAAGGCTGGGCGGGAGGCCCTACAACTGGTTCTCCCAGATGGCACCCAAGCCCTAGCCACATCCACTCCTCTTTTCTTAATGGTCAGCTGGTGCTTTTCCAAGGAACCCCTGTGGGCTGGCAGAGCCCATAGGTCAGAAGTGAATTCAAACCCTAGGTGGGAAGCTGACCCACAATGTAATTGTGATCGTTGTGGCTCTGCTTCATCTCTGAGATGAAAATCATGCTCAGGAGGATAGGGAGCAGTGCTACGATCTGCAGAATGTTTCTTAGAGACATTAAAGAACAGACCAGATGTTCCTCTGACCAAGATTGCTTGTGTGGATGCATGTGAGTGGGAGAGTGGGGATCAAGCCAACAGATTCAGGGGATTCTCTCCAGCTCCACGAAGCCATGAATGAGTCTGTCCAGAAACTCTCCTCGAGACACACCTGGTGAGGCTGGATAATTCAGAGCTCTGCCACTAGCCCTGGGCTACTTGCTTAACTGCTCTGAGCCTCATCTCCCATTTCTGTCATATGAGGGAGCTGACCACAGGACTTCTAAGATGCCTGCCAACTCAAGAAAATGTTGAATGAAGTAGATTCCTCTGTTAAATAAGTGACTGCTCCCATGCAGGGCTCTACTGTAGGTTGTCACTTGGGTAGACTGTTGAGAAGTCACACCCAATGATGGGTTCCAAATTCTAAGTCTAAAATAATCTAAATTTGCTGCCTCCTATTTGGTCTGGTGATTTATGTGGAAACACTTTAATTTTTCTAACTTTAACTTGAAGTACAACTACATCTGTAAAGTAGCTTCTGGTTTCACCACAAGAGGGACCACACTGTTGTTAAACTATAAAACCAAACCTGTTGCCATCGAGTTGATTCTGACTCACGATGACGTTGTTAGGTGCTGCCAATTTCGATTCATATTGACCCCATGTGACAGAGTAGAGCTGCTCCATAGGGCTTTGTAAGCTGTAATCTTTATGGGAGCAGATAACCAAGTCTTTCTCCCACAGAGCCGCTGAGTGGGTTTGAACCACCAACCTTTTGGTTAGCAGTCAATCACTTAACTGTTGTGCCAGCAGGGCTCTTTGGGACCAAGTTAGAAGCATGTAAATTGGTGGTGACTGTGTGCTGAAAATTAAATGTTATCAAGGCTGATTTGAGACAAAGTTAAATCACTCTTTCTGGTATTTTCTTCTCCTTTGAACACCTCTCTTTAACTCTTCCTTTGCTCTGTGCAGCCGCTATCTCAAGTCCTCACTGCCATCTCTTCCAAAAACTTTCTTTCATGACTGTGGAAAAAATTAGTCGTGCACCCCCGTAAGAAGACATTATTCTTTTGTGGCAGAGATGGTAATGCTTACCAACTATTCCAGGTGTTCTCCTACATTTCCCAGCCTCCCCTGCACTTACACTGGGGCATATGGCTAGTTCTGAACAATGGACTGCGGGTGGAAATGACATGTGTCACTTTGATCTAAGGCAGTTAGGTACAGTTATGAGTTCTCCATACTCTCTTTATCATCACTGTGACTTGAAGCACAAAATGGAGATGGTGGAGTTGCAAGATGGAGGCCGCCTGGGTCCTTTAAGTACTGCTAGAGGAAAGCCATTAAGAGAGCTGCCTGACTCGCACCACAGTGTGTGACATGAATATAAAACTAAGTTACTGAGATTTCACAGTTTATTACTTCAGCCTAATCTATCTTCCGGAGGTATTTCATTTTAAGAGAGATCCTAGAGGAAATGCAAAACACGATGGAAATAATTTCTCATAGTGGAATTGTAGGCATCTAAGAAGTCTGGGGTCTGAGGACCTCGGTACTATTGAAATCAAGGCATACAAGCAATACTGTATGTCTTATAACAGCCCTGTGGTGCATGAAGATTTTGAAAGTACTCAAAGAAGGAAATTTTAAGATATTCCTTCCGGTATGTCTAGAAGCCAATCTAGTTTCTAGACAGAAGGAAAACAAGGGAACCCATTTTCTAGAATGATCTTGAAAAAATAGTCACCTAGTGCCAAAGAAGAAAATCCCTTACTTTTCCTGCTTCATTCCATATTATCAATTTCCTATTATTAAAATAACTATTTGGCTCTTTCTTTCCAAAATCCCATATGGCTCCAGAAATTAAATACTTTGGGTCCATCTAGGAATCCATTGAACAATAATCCCAGGAACTTTTTGGGAACAATATGGTAAATGACAATAAAAGTTATATCTATAAAGTTACAAAATAACTGTTTGGTCAATTCTGTAAAAATGCAGCATTCTATTCCACCCAGCCCCACAACCCGTTTAGCTCCAATTTTCTCTCTACAATGCTTTGTGTGTCTATTGAGTGAAGCCGGCCTCAGTGTGAATGCCTTTTGGGAAGACCCGTCTCTCCTCCCTCCACAGAAATCCCCTGGCTTCCAGAACCCCACAGAAGGTTTCAAGAATTATGCAGGTGGGTGCAATCAGAGAATGGGAGAAAGGCTGTCAGAAAGACAGCAGAGATCACCTCGGATCCTCACATAAGTCGGACTTAAAGTGTTGCACTGCATGACTCTTAAGAATAGCAATCTAGAAAGGCATTGTATCTGATTGCAGCTTCGTAGGAATGTCATTCTTTTCCCCAAATGTTCATGGCAGTGGATAGGCTCCCCTCCTGACATTGCCACTGGCTTTCCCTCTGTCCCTCTGATCAACCCAGAGTGGCTTCCAAAGAGTGTATTGACAAATGGGGAGCCCAGAACCCACCTAATTAATAGTCCAGATACAATCCCTCTGGGTCTGGTAGCAAATGCCAACCAAGTCCCACCAGTTTATTAATTTAACCAAAAGGTAAACAGATGATGGAGATGCAGAATGACAAGCATGCGAGCAGCTAAAAGCATTACCCGGCTGTCCACCAGGAAACAAATTTAAGACATTTAAAGTGGCATTAAATAAATGAAGCTATTTTTATCTACTTGGAATTTCCATTGTCTTTAAAAAAGGAAAATATATATATATATGTATATTTTTTACATTGCAGTATACAAATCTAGACTCTACCTATACAGTATAAATACACAGGGTGAGCACATGGGCACAACACATATGCCTTGGTAGGCACACCCCAAACCAGGCTGACAGTTCTGTATCTTCTTTTCAACCTTCAAACCAAAAAAAAAAAAGTCGAGATGAGGCTACATTTGACTTCACTCTCTGAGATGTCTGCCACCTGGCCATCTCTCCTCCAAGCACAGAAGCACATATCAGATAAGCCTCGCAAACAGAAGAAAGTGCTTTACGACCAACTGAAGCCCAGTCTGATCTCCTAGAAAGACCAAAAGGAAATCTGACGCCTTTCTGGCTCATTCTTTGGTCCTTTGCCACAAATCTCTAAACTTTCCCTGGTGTTTCTTACAGATTTTGTATGGCTATTTATGTAATATAAATCCCACACAATTTTTGGGAGCTGTATCACAGTTACAAAAAAGGAAAAGCTCCATGTTACAACCTGCACTTCATAATCTGGGTTTGCTGTCTTTATTTTTGGAATAAAAAGTGGTATTTTGAGAATTTTTTCTTAAAAAGGACAACATTCTGAAAGTGCTTCTTATCCATGTCAACGTCCCACATATGGCTTTTTAGTTCCAACCCCAGCACTGCTCAGATTTGGAAGGGAAAGCGTAATGGTGTTACTGTAGACAAAAATGTCACTGAACAGTGACACTGTGCTAGCAAGTGTGGGGACATTAAAAAAAAAAATTATTGATTTCATCTGGAAGATGGTACCTCTTTAAGAAATGATTTAGATGATATATGCAGCCCCATTTTTCCCCCATGACTAGGCACAGTAATGCTATAAAAGTTAATAAGTAAAATAGGACACTGCTATCAGCAAGGAACATCTTCAGAGGGGCTATTAACAGGGCAATCACTGTTCAGAAATCTTTCACAGACTCACAATGATCCAACACAGTCGGTCACAGTAGAAAGTTCTACACCTGAGGAACAAAGTGCACACAATAAAGAGGTGCTACGATCCAGACGGCAGAAGACTCCAGACATACTGTTTTACATGCAGAAGGCATTCGGACAAGGCGATGAAGTAGTGGCATTCCAAGACAAATGACAGTCCAAACGCATCACGATTCTTTTGCGCTTTCTATTGTGGCTGATAAGTTACCAAAGAACATGGCTATTTGTGCAATAGTGATTGTGGTATATTCTTTAAGGGGGAAAACAGAAATGTGACGCCGGCGGGTCTGAGTGGGCCCCTGAAGCTCCTCCTTGCCCTCCCTGGGGTAGCAGAACGTGACAGGCACAGGCAGAGGGAGAAGGCCATTGGCTCATCCAAACCCTTTCCAAAGTGGCCTTTCATTCAGCCCGTGGCAGGTCCAGCCTCTGCAGTTGTTTTTTTTCTGGTGACACTTGATTGATAAAGTATTCCTCTCCCTTTATAAAGCTTGGAGTTCTTGTAATACTGGCACAAAGGACACTCTGCATTCCTAGGATTGATTCCGTTTACTTAGAAGGTATGAGACTAGGTTCTCAGTTCCTTTTTTTCCCTGTAAGTGACCTAAACTTTCCAGGCCATTGTGCAAATTTGTTTTTCCATAGTCCAGAATATCCCATAAAGTCCCTCGTATATATACACACACATATCAAATATGTGTATGTATACATATATATACATATATATTTATAAATGTGGATAATTTTGTGTTCCAGTCTCAAATAGATCAAAGAGAATCAGTGAATCTCTTCATGGCAAACTCATTTCCTATTTCCCCACAATGCCTATCATAGTGCCTTACACACAGTAGGTACTCAATAAATATCTGTTGACTTCACCAGTGATCCTCTAACACTGGATGGTAGCTGCAATCACGACCCCCTGTTCTTAGCCCCACTCTGACTTTGGCAAGCAAGGGCCATTGGGTCCCTCTCTTCAGAGGGTGATTTTGCTGTGCCTGTTGCTCCAGCAGCCCCGTTTAGCTGTCCTGGGCAATGTCAAGCTGGTCCGGCTACGCAGTTTCACTTGTTCCTCCATGGTGCTCTTTTTGCGTAAAATGAAGTCAAAGTTCACTTGGCTGTTCATAGCATAAAAGACATTTGCAGAGTCTGGGATCACTAGCTCTGAAAAAGATAAGGGAAGAGAAGGTAGTCAGCCTTGTAGCTCAGCCCAGCGCTGACAGCGGCAGATGGAAACCTGGCCCAGACACAAGTTGGGACTATCGCCCTTTGTCCCTGGAATTTGAACTGAACCAATGACCATCCCCTCCTCCCCCCCGAAAAATGATCCCAACAACTTCTCAATCCCAACAGCAACAACAACAAAACAAATGCAAATAAGATTTTAAAAAATCAGCCTATGAACTAAATGTTCAAATACAGAATGTTATATAGCTAGAAGAAAATGTGGTAGAAAACAGAGGTCAGAAGTTAAATGACATTCCCAAGATCACAGCTAGTAAGCAGAACTGACATTAGAACCCAGGTTTCCTTCCTCCCACAGCCCATTTTCTGCTCTACTATGCAGCTTTTCTCAGAGACTATGAACGATGAAAAAAAAAATTAGAACCCAACCTACAGAGTTTTCCAGAATACTTTCATTGGAAAATCAAAATATTTTTGAAGTAATCCAACATGAAACTGGTATTTTATTCCATTTATGTCCTTGCCTTGTTAAGGCCCTGTATTTTAATATTAAACAGTATCCATATAAGACAGTGAGTATCTGCTAACATTTAAACTATTTTCAACTTCAATGATTCCCAACTAGATATCTGCAATTTCTTAGAACTGTTCTAAGTGTAATATGAAATGATCAAAGCAAAGTTATTTTTAATTGACTTCTATTTTTTAAAAAAGGTATATGGTATTTAGCACTCTGGGGTAATGGGTATCTTAAAAAAACAAACAGTGAATTAAAAAGGTAAAATATGCAGTGGCTGTAGGGTGGAGCAGGCAACCAGCAGAGGCCTGGATTGAATGAACCTTCAGTTAACTTCCAGCACTGAGATCTTACAGCAAGACTGGCTGCGACCATGCTCTAAATGGCTCTTGTACATTCTTCGCACAAATGTTTCATAAGGAATAACCCCCTTAAGGTGTCTCCATGCTTCTTCCCATGTATTCCCAAGTCAATAATATTACATTTCACAGCTATACATGACTTAGCATCTCCCCAAAGCACTTTCCTGTACATTATTTCCTGTTATCTTCACAATCGCCCTGTGAGGTATGAGGAACAAGTAGGGTATCATCTACATTTAACTAATTAAGAACAAAGGCCTGAGGAGATCAGGTGGCTGGCCTAAGACCACACAGCTGGTGAGTAGCAGTGCTGGGCCTGGAGGCTGCAACGCAGGACTCCCGGACCTTCAGACCCGCCGGCCTCACCTCAGTCTGTGTTGTGAGCTTGGCATTTCTGTGCAACATGGTAAAACTCAGAAGACCATGTGTCGGGGTGAGAATTTTAACTGTAACAACATTAAAAGGCATTTTATAACTGAGAGAGGTTTGCTCCACAACCTAGGGTTCAGCTGAGTGAATCAGAAAACTTCCGAAGAAGTATTTGAAATTGAAAGAAGAAATTGAAATAATTTTCTGAGAGGCTATATGTTTTTCATGTCTAGGAGAAGGTACTACTCTAATTCAGCTACCTTCCTCTTGGCCCCGGATGGAGCCCTGAGTAATTCGTTGGCCAAACAGAGCGAGAATTGCTGCTCCTGTCTCATACCCCCAACTTGCAAAATTCTTCTTTTCCTTTATAGGGGGCTGCGTGTTGGTGAACAGAGTCCTACATTAAGATGCTTGCAATGGTCAGTACTGGACCGTCAGCAGACCAGGCTGGCCTCAGTCAAAAACATATATGGCCCCTTCTTCATTTGGAGGAGATTTCTCCTGGCTGAGTCACTTCCTATAATATGACAGAGGAATAGTCTACCAGCCTGTTTTCTCCTCTCTACAAACATAACCCCAATACAAATTAGAAAACAGATATATTCGGGGGGATTATTTGCCAAAAGAATCTACAGAAAAATAAATCCCTTAAGTAGTTCCCAGGGGTACTGATGTGTTTCCTAGGTCACTAGCTGCTCTCCTAAATAAGTGTGAGGTTCAGAAACTTCAAATTCTGTTGTCAGAAGCTTTGCTACATAGAGATCAATCATGAATAAAGATAAAGTAACTCATACATGATTAACTAAAACAATGAGAAATTATTATTAGAATTGCTAAATTTCAGGTTCATATACAACTCTGAAACACATAATTAGGTAAAGGAGATGTGTGGTCAGAAAAAACTAAAAATGAATGATTAAAACCCCATACTCAGTTCCATTACAAAAAGACCTTGTATCCATTTTCTGGCTTCCAGAACTGAGGAGCAGCATAAAGACGCTGCTAGCAGCTTGCCATGATGAGGAACACATGCCCCACCTTTGTCCTCCGAGATGACCTGCACCAGCTCGTACTCTTCGGCCGGGTCCGAGTCCAGATTGTGCTTCAGCATTGCTCTCTGGATCACGGCAGGGGTTTTATCCTGGCTCGTCAGCTGGAAAGACAATGAAAGGGTTTTTGAGGTATTTACCTTCATGTCTCCTGGAAAATTCTCCTGAACCTCTTCTTGCCATCTTGTGCTGTGCAAGCCTTTCCAGGGAGGCAGGGCCCAAGGAATGAGAATGCGGCCAGGAACCAGCACTCCTGGGTTCTAGTCCTGGCTCCTCCCTCAGGAGCCAAAGGATGATGAGAAAGTCACTCAATCTCTTAGAGTCAAGGTGTCGTCCACTATTAAAATGGAGAGGACACTCTTGCCTTACCCATCTCTCCCACACTGGTTGAAGTTCAATGAAAGAATACAAATGAGGGTATTGTGAAAACTGGAAAGCATTATTAGTCCTGGGCTGAAATTATCCTCACATGTTCACAGCTGCTATTATTAGCACTGGTCACGACCTGTGGGACAGAAATGGCCATAGTCCTGCTCACGGACCATTTCAGAAAGCACAAGGACCCAATGACCCAGCAATCCCACTCCTAGGTAGTAACCAAGAAAGATGAAAACATACATGTACGAAAGGACTTGTACACAAATGTTCATAGCAGACTTATTCATAACAGCCAAAAACTGGAATCAACTTGAATCTCCATCAACAGAAGGTAGACAGCAGAAAGAAACTGGAGTATATTCACAACAGAGTATTACTTAGCAATAAAAGAAACTAACAACTGATACACCTAACAGTGTGGATGAATCTCAAAAGCATCACGTTGAACAGAAGAAACCAGACTCAAAACATTACATACTGCAGCAGTTTATTCTTACAAGAGCAAGCAAAGCTAATTTATGGTGTTAGAAAATTTATCTCAGAGTTAAGGAGGGACTGACTGGAAGGGACAAGGGAACTTTCGGGGGAGGTGGGGGGCGGCTGTTGGAAATGTTCTTTATCAAGATTTGTGCGGTGCTACACAGATGTACATAGTTATTAAAATCCAAAGAACCAAATGCTTAGGATCTGTGTATTTAATTGTATGTAAATTAGTCTTTAATAAAAATCAGCTTCGAAGTGTTTAAAATAATAAATCTAAAAAAATTTTTTAAAGCACAAGGTTCTCCACATCCCTAATTCTGACTTTCTCCCTCTCGTCTCTGCCCACCAGCCAACTATTTGCAGGGTGTTCAGTACACCATGAAAAGAGGGATGACTTTCATACCATTCATTGAGTATTTCTTCAAATTTGAAAGAAAGCAAATGAAAACAAAGATTCTTCACTTAAAAATAAAAGCCCTTATCTCCAGGAGGTAAGAGGACATCAAAGAGAAAATTAAAAACAAAACAAAAGAGTCTAATTTTCCTCCCAGAAACGTTGTCCTTGTGAGCCTGAGGATGTCTGTGCCTAGAAGCATCCCTCTGGCCTGGGACCACAGGTGGCATTTGTGATTCAGTAAACAACATGCATTACAATGGGCTCCTTGTTAGCAACAAAGACCTTGCTCATTTGTCTATTACCAAAACATCTGGCATATCCATTTACAGGGGGAAAACAGGTGTACACAAAATTCTAAAGGAGAAAAATATGTTCCTTGACAGTCTAAAGGAAATACTCCCACAACTGGCTCAAACTGGACTTGTAGCATAAAGTTAAAAGAGAAAAAACATCACTTGGGGATGAATGAGAGGCTAACTTGGGTTTTAAGTTGTCTAATTTAAACTGCCTGTGTAAGGACAAAGCCAGGCTATCCCTATTTTCTTTACCTTAAACTTCCAGAGATGTGTCCAAATGACGATGGGACAGCCAAGGGCTTTCCTTGGATGTTTATTACTTTGTACCAAAATAGCTATCGATCACAATTCACATGAAGGGCTCAATCATGTGCCTTGAGCTGATATATGGAACTAGCATAATTCAACAGAAATATCTAAGTCACAGATATAATTTTAAATTTCTAGTCTACATTTAAAAAGTTTTTTGAAACGAATTAATTTTAATAATTTCATCCAATAGATCCAAAATATTATTTCAGCATACAATCAATATAAATATTACTGAAATATTTTACTTTTTTTGTACTAAATCTTCAAAATTTGGTGTGCATTTCACAGCACGTCTCTATTTGGACCAGCGCCATCACAAGTTCTCAGTAGCTGCTGTACTGGATGGTGGGTATTGAAGAGCGTATAGGAGTTTCCTTCATGCACATTAAGCAGGGAATGAAATGTTTATGGTCACAGAAGTCCGGGGAGCACAGGAGACTCTGGTTGACATAATGGAGACAAATATCACTTAGAAGGAGTGATGGGGATGATGGTATAGGACATTTACTTGCTGTCACTAAGGTGATGACTTTACAAGGATTTAAGTTTTCTTTCTCCTACTTCCTATGGAAGGACCTGGACTCAGATGACAGTAGTACTTTCTGCAACACAAGTTCTCTAGGCTATTGATTCTCAACAAGCAGTCTATAGCCCCTGTGGTTCCTGAAATCTTTTCAGTGGATCTGTGAAGTCAAAACTACTTTCATAGTAATACTAAGATGATTTGTCTTTTCACTTGTGTTGACATTTGCATTGTTGCGAAAGTAAAGTTAGATAAAATTACTGGCACCTTAGCACAAGTTAATGCAGTGGTTAGGTGCCACTGAGTTAATTTCAACTCACAGTGACCCCATGTGATAGAGTAGAACTGCCCCATATGGTATTCTAGACTGTTGAATCTTTACAGGAGCAGACCGCCAGGTCTTTCTCCTACGGAGCTGCTGGGTGGGTTCAAATAGCCAACTCTTCTGTTAGCAGTGGAGCACTTAACCATTGTACCACCAGAGCTCCTTCCTAACTATTCCCCCAAACCTCCCCAAATGAAACAAACCAACGTCATTGCCGTTGAGTCAATTCCGACTCACAGCGACCCTACAGGACAGAGTAGAACTGCCCCACAGGGTTTCCAAGGAGTAGCTCGTGGATTTGAACTGCCAACCTTTTGGGTAGCAGCTGAGCTCTTAACCACTGTGCCACCAGGGCTCCGCCTAACTATACCAGCAAGTATTAAATTCTTCAATATCTTGCAATCACAGTAAAAACAAAAGAAAGCCAGTTTCACTTAAGGATGTCCTTGATGAAACAGCAAAAATTACTAATTTTATTAACTCTTGACCTCTATTAGCATATTTGCTACATTTTGAATAATGATTTACCATCTCCCCTTTTGATTAAAAGCTGTTTAAAGGCAGAAATGTCTCAGTCATCTCCTTATCTCCAGAACCTAATCCAATGACCAATACCTTATAAATATTCAATAAATATTTTGTTCATTCAGTGAATGCTTTGGCAAAGCTCTTCTTTGAATGTCAAAAGACAATCCCTCCATACCAATTCTGCTATATTCAGAGCTAAGCTTAAAACATGAAGGGTGCCCTCAAAGAAGGAAAGTGATGAAGATGAGGAGAGATGAAGAATTAGCTGTGATTTTACTGCAAAGGAGAGTCTGCTTTTCAATATGTGATATAGTCTATAAAGAGACTATTCTTGAAATAAATATGCTATATATTACACACACAAGGTTATCGTCACCAGATGCTCTACACTATTCCAAAGACTGTCACTATTAAAACCATATTGGGGATTGTTTTCAGAACCATGCAGTTTACCAACAGTTAAGGAAGTCCAGCATCCTTTATTTATAAGCACAGTTCCTCACTGACCCAGACTGTGTTTCCCAGCTTGATCATCCACTTTATTAATTGATTTGATTCAGAGTGTCTAAAGGACAAAAATTTGACATCATGCAGTAAATTCCAAAGAATGCATGGGAAATTCAATTATAACTCCAGATATCTAATTCCACAGGAAGACTTCTAAGAAGATATGAAGCAGTGCATCTTCCCTATAATATTTATATAGTCATCTAAACTGACAGTTTTGAAAAGGGTGGCACTGACCTGGATGAATAAATTTTAGCATTTTTCTAAGTTGTGAAAACTATTTCCTGTGTGCTCTGTTGTTGTTGTTGGGTGCTGTCAAGTCGATTTCAACTCATACTGATCCCATGTGACAGAGGAGAACTGCCCCATAGGATTTTCTAGATTGAAATCTTTATGGGAGTAGATCATCAGGTCTTTTCTCCTGCAGAATCATCAGTGGGTTCAAATCTCTGGCCTTTCAATTAGCAGCTGAGACCTTAACCATTGCACCACCAAGGCTCCTTAAGTGCACTCTAAGTATGTATATTCATGTAAATATATCATTAATCTACAGCCAGGGAGATCTTGGTATTTATACATGTTGATTTTGTGTGAATGCATATATATGCTGATATTATACACAGGGGGTTAGCCTGAGTGGCTGACGACACAGACACAATCTAAATGGAAAAATTGCTCCTGGTCAGGATGAGCCCCTTACCATGATGCTTTTGTACATGTTGCCGTTGCTGTCTTCTATACTGATGCGGATTATGCAGGTGTCTTCGTTCTGTTGGTTGTAAACAGGAGGCAGCACTGTCGAGGTAATGGACGTCACAGAGACGGAGCGCTTGTGGATTTTAGGGTTGTTGTTGCAGGACGGAGGAGAGGAGAGGGGGTTGACTAAGGACGACATCCCTGAGGAAGTTGTGTCCATGGAATGGATGGAGGAACATGAGGAGGAGGATTCGGAGAGCTGGAAAAGTAAACACACCCCAGAAGAAACCAGAACTATTAGAACCTTGACCAAAAGAGTATGTTACCATTTTCAAAGCAGAGGTAGACTGAGACGGATAAATTTCAGTTATTTCCTCCACAGCAACCCACAGCACACAGGCATCATGTCCCTGGCGTATGTACTTCCTGTGTCAGATGCACTTCAGTGGCTCAGTCCTTGACCTAATAATCATTCTTCATCTGTGTGAGGCATTTCCCTAGTTTTTAGCTGCTTTTAAGGAAGTGAACCAGCAGGTGGCAGCAGATACCAAAAACTAGAGGCAACAGAGGCTCCAGAAGGAAGTCAGCTGCTTACAAGGCTGGAGGAAAGCCTGCACATCAGTTTATGGAGGGGACAATACTTGACATGCCCACAAAGTTGATTTCCATCCTGACTCCAGTTCGAAATCAGATTTTGTAGTAAAAAAGAAGTGTGTCTATTTTTAGAAAGTTCCTAAAATAAGCACCACAGATTATATAGCTCGGCATAGAACACTACTACTGGAAAAACCCTTGGAGATCACCTATTGTTGAGGAACCTGAGGCCTAGAAAGCATAAGTGGGACTCAAAGGTGACAAAGCCAGTTGGCGACACCACCAAGACGAGCTCCCAAGCTCCCTAACTCACAGTGCCACGTACACGGCCTGCTGTTGATGATAACATGGTCAATTAACATAATATACCGTTACCTCGGTGATATTTACCTCTGTGAGGTTTGTAACGAGCTTTCATACATCCTATCTCATTTTGGTCTCACACCATCTTGGGAACAAAAGGTAGAGCATTACAAATATGAGGCGAATGAGGTTCAGAGAAATAAAGTGACTTGTCCAGGGGAACGCAACCTGTGATCAGTTTGGCCACTTGCTACATTTACTGCTAGAACCAACTACACAACTTCATGTTGTATATCAAGGATGGTTAAGGCATGGGGTGCTACGGTTAACTTGCTTTTCTGATTAACTACATGTTTATCACACATGCATTACCAATTACCAAGAAAATAAGATATCTAAAACTCATTAGTATACAACAAAAAGACAATAATCCAATTAAAAAATGGGCAAAGGGTATGAACAGATACTTCACCGAAGACATTCAGGCGGCTAACAGACACATGAGGAAATGCTCCCAACCACTAGCCATTAGAGAAATGCAAATCAAAACCACAATGAGATAACATCTCACCCTGACATTACTGGCACGAATCAAAAAAAAAAAAACAGAAAATAACAAATGCTGAAGAGGCTGCAGGGAGATTGGAATTCTTATGCACTGCTGGTAGGAATGCAAAATGGTGCAACCATTTTGGGAAAAAAGCTAGAAACAGAACTACCATATGATCCAGCAATCCCACTCCTAGAAACATATCCTAGAGAAATAAAACTCACTAGCAGGTGTTCCAAAAACTCATTAAATCGAATAATTTTAACTATCAATTCTTATTATAGAAAATTATGAATGATTTTTTCGAAGAGGCTAGGTTAAATCATACCATATTCATCCTACAAAATATCCTGAAAGTGATCTTAAAAATAAATAACATCAATTTCTTTTGTACCTGTCAGACTTCCCATGGAAACAGAGGACAGAAGCTTAGCTTCCTGATTATCCAAGTCCTCCAAGTAAAACGGAGTTTATTTCCTGTGGACTTCTTTTTCCTATGGCCTAACTGTATCATTAAATTCCACTGCATGATCTGTTTAATTAAAGAGTTAGGTAACTGATGTGACAGGATTCCAACTGTGGTTCTATCACAACACAGCTTTAGTTACTTTCTGAAACATTGGTGTGTGTGTTGTTCCTGAGTGAATCAACTTAGTAGTTTGCATTTGAGGCCTAACTGGTGACAGATTATTTTAGTGGCCTCAAGTGCAGCCTGTGGGAAAGGAAGGGTGGACATCTGGAGGGCTGCTGGGGAGGATGGTGGGTCACAAGATCTGAGAATAGGAAAGGAGGTCAGCCAGGTCAAGCTATGCATTGAGCAGGAGGTTAAGAGTCTGAGACCTTTCTAGTTAATATCCAGGGATTCTGCGGTCCAGGCACTACTTGCAACCAAGTCAACTACTCGATTTTAAACCTATGAAAATCCATGACTCTGAGAAAGGTTCATCCAAAGGATAAAAAACCATGACTTGTGCAAGACATTGAGAGCCAGTGTGATGAAGGATGAGACAAAAAGGATACAGCGAGGGGTGCACAGACCACACCGCGAAGGGCTTCTGCATGGATCTAAAGGGGATGAACCGGATCTATGTGCACGCCCACGGCACGACCTCAGAGTGTGACTGGGAGTCCCTCTTCCTCACAGGCAGGGAGAAACCCCACAAAGATGTGGGCAATCCCTCGGTGCTCTCTCTCAGACAACATCCACCGTCAGAGATGGGGCCTATAAGCATAAGGACCTGTCAAGTGTGAAAGATGAGAATGTCACTGCAGATCCTGACAAATTCACGGCTACATGTCAAGCCATGAGGAATGATTATATACCCTGCTTAGGAAGCAGGTCTTTTGAGAGAACGGGCAGTCGGTAGTGGTTTGCAGAGCTTTTCCTTCAACATCTGGAGGACTGAGCACGTGCCCCCAGAATTGCAAAGCGGAAAAGTGAGAAAACCAACTGGGGCAGCACTTGCGCCATCTCAGTCTGATGAGTCCTGAGTCTGAGGTCCTTTCTGGATTGGCTACTTTATGACAAAGTCTCTTTAGGGCTCCCAAATTGATGTTGCTGCTTACAACGCCACCGTGTGAAACAATTCACACATCCCTTTGCAGAGAGGCAGATATAAACAAAATGAAGGAACCATATACCAAATCTCTACCTCATTGGTTAGGGAACCAGAAGTGACTACCGTGTAAGTATGGCTGACCAAAAACTCTCCGAAAGGCTGCGAATTCTAATCATGTCAAAGTTGACCCCAGATCTAAGTCTCTTAACCAACAGATTGAAGCAGATGTGTATAGAAGATTAAGACCAATCTTTTTTTTTTTTTAGTTATTTATGCAGCCATGGAACATGAAAACTCTCTATGGGACTTCTTATCACCTCACATCACCTTTTTTTTTCCAAGATATGGTAGACTGTATTACTGTTACTAATTCCTTACCCCTCCCTGAATCCATGTCGCTGAATTTTGCAGTGGTTTTTTATGAAACATTATTGTGGTAAAAGCCTGGCTAAGACAAGATAAGACACCAAGAAGCTAACACACCTCCATCTCTGGTATTTTGCTCCTTGTGAGCAAATCCCACATCTCCTAACTACACTATAGCTCATGCAGAGGTCACAATCTTTAAGTTGCCTTTGTATGTGGGTATGGAATAATATTCCAAAGTTCAGATGAAGAAAGCAACCTGCTTGCTGCCTTCAGGCTTATTTCTATAAGGAAAAGGTCTTGGACTGAACTCTGTTTTCGACACTTCTTAAAAACACAACTCTGAAAATACTGTGGAGTGATGATCCTGAAAACAGACATTCCTCAAGTGACACACACTCTGTCAGGTGCCTGCACTAGGAATACTGGAAAGAGGTTAAGTATATACCTTTTTGGGGGGCTCATCAGGTGTGTCCAGGGGAGTGATAGAGCCCTCCTCAGCCTCCGAGTGGTTCGACTCGCAGGATGACACGCTGACGGAGTCCATGCTTTCGCCAGAGCTCCCACTGGCAGTGGACTTGGGCTGCTCTTTGGTGGGAGTGCTACTGGTGATAATGTCTGAGCCCAGAAACAGTCTGCAGAAAACAGAATGCCAGGCGTTTGGGCTGTTACTAATGTGGAATCCATGATTAAGCAAATATTTTTGTGTTGATAAAGCCCTTGATGTTTTCTCAATCTTGTGTGCCTTGTCATTATTATTTTAGGAAAACATTTGCTATAAAGTTTCTAAAAAATCTCCGTAAACAGCATGTCCCAATAGGATATTTCTAGCCTCAAAGAACACACAAATTTCTTAGCTGAAAGAGGAAATGTATTAATCTGAGGTCTTTCTAGGTCAATGGTTCTCCAGTTTTCACCAGTGTACGGATCACTTTGGCAGGATCGAAATATCATCACCCCACCTGTATCACTTCCCACTTAAAATGAACTTCAAAAGGCTGAAGAAGGCTGGCATTGCTTTGAATAAGAATTTATGGAGGAAGATTTCTGTTTCCAACAATCTGGTGAACTATAATAACCTGAACCTCTCCACTATAAAACAACTAGATAAGTAATATTAGAAACTCCTTTTACTGTTGAGTTTGCAAGTTAGTAAGGGAAATCCCTACAAGCCGGAAATGAAAAGGGAACTGAAAACCAGAAGCTTGTGAGCTGATTCTGCAACTGCTCTGGCTAGGCAATGGGAGGTGCCAATCTTAGTGAACTAGGGACATGGGTTTTAACATGTATACAGGGACCAAAGGGTCCTGTTTATGAAGGGTGGGGAATTGGAACTGAAGTCCCTTATATAGAGCAGGGACCCTCAAAGGGCTGCACCTTAGTAAAGAGATGGTCTAGAAGAGTACCTACCCCGTGGCACAGGAAGACAATAGGAAAGTTTGTCTGTCTTGACTTGGCTTTGGGTGGAAGAAAAATGTCTTCTCTAAAATCATTTGTGACCTTAGCCTGTGCCTCCTTCAGATTTGAGGTTTGAATTTATGCTACCTATGTAGTCTAGGAACTCTCAGGCCAAGTGATATCCATGGGACTCCTAGAATTAAAAAAAGTGGGGGAGGGTGAAGCTTTCTGGAGGGATATACCTTCAACTCAGGCTGCAGAGGATTCCTTGATAAAGATGAGCTCACAATACAAAATTATGAAACACACACAAAGAAATATCCCACCCAAAGACAGAGTCAACAGACATAACAAACATTGAGGCTTAGACTTCCGAGAACTTCAGATACAAGAACTATCAGAAAGAAACTAATAACTCATTCATTTAATCAACAAATATTTGAGTGCCTACCATGGGCCAAGTTATAAAATAAGTGTGGTTAAAAATATTAAGACATAAAAGAATAAATTTAAAATAAGAGTTAAAAGCAAGATGGTCTGAAAAAAGAACAGGAAAATAATTTGAAAAAATATAATTCAGAGATGAAAAATAAAATGACTGAAATTAAAAAACTCAGTAGAAGAGATTAAATAAATGTCAAAGAGAAAAACCAGGAGCTGGAAGACAGATCTGAAGAAAATCCTCAGAAATCAGCATCAAAAGATTAAGAGATAGAAAATATGAGAGGTTAAAAGACATGGAGAATGGAATAAGAAAGGCCTGCATTTGTGTAAGAGGAGTTCCAGAAGAAGAAAATTGAGAGAACAGAAGGGGGACCACAGCTGAAGAGACAGTGGCTCAGAGGATTCCGGAACTGATGATCTACATGAACACTCAAATCCAGGAACCACATCCTGACTAGGAAAAAAAAGATCAAACTTCCACTTAAACTACAGAATGGTATATCAAAGTCTAAAGAAGTTTAGAAGCAATGGGGGCAGGGGTCATAATACAAACAAACAGTAATTAAACAGATATAAGACATCTCAAAAGTAACAATAAATTCAGAATAAGATCTGCAAAGTGCTGAGTGAAGATAACAGTCATTCTTGAATCCTACTATAATATTCTAACATAATAAAATTCTAATATAATTCCAAAAGTGAGGACAAAATAAAGACTTTCTGAGACAGGAACTGAGAGAGTTTACCATAATCAGACGTACACTGAAATAAGTTATAAAAGGAGAGAAGAAGTAAGATACAAGAATGACATGCAAAGAAAGTAGCAAATGGTGCTAAATCCAAACAAGCATTAACTGTAAAAAAAATAACAATAATAGTAAAAATGAGGATATGCTTCATTCTTATTAGATATTTTTAGAAATTATAAGCTTAAAAATGTGCCTCCTCTCCACCCCACCACCTCCAGCCTCATTTTCCGTGTCCCTTCCTTTCATGGACCTTCAAACACTACAGGGCTATAGGGGAAGAGCTAAACTCTGATTACAAGTCGCAGAAGAAAAAAATGCTACTTGTCTTACTGCTCCATGAATTACAAGGCATGGTGGATTAATTAGTTTTGTGTGTGGCCTTTACAGCGATAGTCTTGCAACTCCCACCCAGATGATTATGTGACAGGGTAATTGTGGCCTACCAAGGGGATTGGTCAGTTTTGCCTTAAAAGAGAGCCAATTCCAGAGCAAAGAGCAGAGCCTACCCCCACCAAAGAAGGAGAGACCGGCAGCAGAGATCTGCGGGAGATGGTGCAGCGAGCTTCCCGGCCCACAGAGCAAGAAAGCTGACTGCCTTTGGGCAGAGACTGAGGGCCAGGGAGAAGTCTATGCCTGACTCATGAATTTGGGACTTGCCAGCCTCCAAAACATCATGAGCCATTTCCTTTATATGGTCCGTGAGTTCTGTGAGATGTTGCAAGAAATTAGGGAACCCAAAGACAGGAGGGAGAGTACTGACACTAGAGGGAGTAGCTGATGTTAGAGACGATGGAGTGGCACAGCAGCTTAGAAAATTAGACATTTGGGACATCTTTAATCTCCACCTCATAGGAACCAGCTTTGTGCTGATCCTTATATAAGAAATTATTCGTTTACAAGGAAACCCCTTGAAGGCTACTAACTAGTAGTTTTCAGCCCATTATCTGAGTGTCTCCAGCTTAGAGTTAAATTGTTCAAACACTAAAGGTTCCTCCATCTCTACAATTCAATTAGGCCATCCCCTCTTTGAAAAGGTTAATTCTGGCTCAACACTAGGCTCAACATTCTAATCTTCAAACTAAGTACCTCTTCCCCCCAAGGCTCCAAAGTTTTCTCCAACCTCTTTAGACGAAGGATCATTAAATGTGAGGAGAGCAAAAATACGTTTTCCAGATTAACAAAAAAATGCTACAAGGATCATAAAATATTTTGAAAAGGAATGATAATACAAACACCCTCGTACATGCAAGAATAAGATGGGGAGACATGGAAATTGTTTTCAGAATATATCTTCAAACTCAATGGCAGACACCAAGGGTTAAACTCAAGCATCTCTGCAAAATTTCACTACTGAGACACGATGACAGCCTGGCACAGTTGGTGCAGGACGCTGAACCCTGATAGTCCTTCTTCCTATGGATTCACATTAATGTCCTCACAGAGGACGTACACTTGCCAGTTTCAGGGCAGAGAGAGGACTCCAGGGTGTTACAGCACCCAATACAGTACATATGGATGTTTGGGTTGGAAAGGAGTAATAGAGAAGCAATTATATAGAAGTGAGTATACACTGGCAACTACCTGAGGACAAGTGTAAAAGACAGAGGGCAAAGGTAGTGGCACTTAGGATTAGGTCTACCTGCACTGGGATTTTTTTCCCTTAAGGACCTCTGACTCTTATAAACCAAAATACTCATCGCAGTTGAGTCGATTCTGACTCATAGCAACCAGCAGGTCCATAAATTCCCAATGCTTTATGATGTCTCAGTTAGCAGGGAAGACCACCAGGACATCCCACATTCCTGGACTCATCTATCAGGGAGCCTGATTCCCTCTGCACATGTCATCTGCTGACAGGCTTGGTCAGGTGCCTTGTGTTATCTCAAAAGAGAGTTCATTCTCCTCCATTTTGCAGAGATGAAAAGATAGCAAGATAACATGGAAAATACCCTAGAGAGGTGAATCTAAATAGTCATGAATCTAGTGTTGAGGAAGGCCAGGGCAGGCATTTGAACAGAGAGGTTTGGCAAGACATCAGGATTGCCTTCAAAATGCTTTCTACAAAACCACATGTTCCAACTTAATCCTCAAATGCCTCATATTACCTGCTATCAGGTTAGCAGCCTGAGCAGCTTCTGATCTCAGGAGATCATGCCATCCACACCCCACAAGGGCCTTTATATATTACACTGGGAATATGGCATATCCAAGGTCATGTGCCATCCTTGCCTCTATGTCTCAGTGTGACTCACTGAGGTGGGCAGAGAGAGTGTCCTGCAAAGTATCAAACAGCCATAACAACGCTCTGAATTCTGAGCAAAAAAAAAAAGCTAAAAAATATAGTAATAGAAAATTATTTTTCATAAAAAATAACGGTTGCTTTTCAGGCACCCCCTGAAAGCTAGACACTGCTTTAAAAGCTTTACAAGTCCACTTAGTCCTCAGGAAAAGCCACTAGGTGACATTATTAAATTTATCTCACAAATGACAAAAGAGAAGGTACTGGCCCACCATGCCATGAAAAAGCTGTCCAATATTCTCTAATCAGTGTTCTGGTTCATCCCTGGACAAGGTAAATTACGTCACTCAAAAGATCATACACAGTATATATCTTTAAAGGAGAAGTTGACCAAATGCATTAATCGAATTATAATCCTTGTTTCTGTGAACGAATCTCCTTAGCCTTCATTAGATTCATTAGTCTATTGTCTGTAAGAGCCTAGTGTCTAAGAGATTAACTTCCTGACAGAGATTACTGTTGTTAGGTGCCGTTGAGTCGCTTCCGTCTCATAGCGGCCCTACGTACAACAGAAGGAAACACTGCCCAGTCCTGCGCCATCCTCACAATCTTTATATTGAGCCCATTGTTGCAGCCAGTGTGTCAATCCATCTCTTTGAGGCTCTTCCTCTTTTTTGCTGACCCTCTACTTTATCAAGCATGATGTCCTTCTCCAGGGACTGGTCCTTCCTGATACCATCCATGTCCAAAGTACGTAAGACGAAGTTTCATCACCCTCACTTCTAAGGAACATTCTGGCTGTACTTCTTCCAAGACAGATTTGTTCATTCTTTTGGCAGTCCGTGGAATATTCAATGTTCTTTGCCAACACTATAATTCAAAGGCATCAATTCTTCTTTGGTCTTCTTTATTCATTGTCTAGCTTTCACATGCATATGAGGTGATTGAAAATATCGTGGCTTGGGTCAGACGCATCTTAATCCTCAAGGTGTGACATCTTTGCCTTTTAACACTTTAAAGAGGTCTTTTGCAGCAGATTTGCCCAATGACGTATATCGTTTGATTCTGCGGCTGCTGCTTCCCTGGGCGTTGACTGTGGATCCAAGTAAAATGAAATCCTTGACAACTCAATATCTTCTCCATTTACCATGATGTTGCTTATTGGTCCAGTTATGAGGATTTTGGTTTTCTTAATGTTGAGGTATAATCCATACTAAAGGCTGTGGTCTTTGATCTTCCTCAGTAAGTGCTTTAAGTCCTCTTCACTTTCAGCAAGCAAGGCTGTGTCATCTGCATATCTCAGGTTGTTAATGAGTCTTCCTCCAATCCTGACGCCCCATTCTTCTTCATATAGTCCAGCTTCTTGGACTATTGGCTCAGCCTACAAGCTGAATAAGTATGGTGAAAGGTTACAACCCTGACATACACCTTTCCTAACTTTAAACCATGCAGCATCTCCTTGTTCTGTTCAAACGACTGCCTCTTGATCCATGTACAGGCTCCTCAGGAGCACAATGAAGTGTTCTGGAGTTCCCATTCTTCACGATGTTATCCATAATTTGTTATTATCCACACAGTCGAATGCCTTTGCGTAGTCAATGAAACACAGGTAAACATCTTTCTGGTATTCTCTGCTTTCAGCCAGAATCCATCTGATATCAGCAATGATATCCCTCATTCCCCATCTTCTTCTGAATCCGGCTTGAATTTCTGACACTTCCCTGTTGATGTACTGCTGCAACCGATACTCAATGACCTTTAGCAAAATTTTACTTGCATGTGATATTAATGGTATTGTTTGATAATTTCCACATTCTGTTGGATCACCTTTCTTTGGAATGGGCACAGATATGGATCTCTTCCAGTCAGGTGGCCAGGAAGCTGTCTTCCAAATTTCTTGGTAGAGATAAGTGAGTGCTTCCAGCGTTGCATCTGTTTGTTGAAACATCTACACTGATATTCCATCGATTCCTGGCACCTTGTTTTTCATCGCCTTTGGTGCAGCTTGGACTTCGTCCTTAAGTACCATCAGTTCTTCATTATATGCTACCTCCTGAAATGGTTGAACATCAACCAATTTCTTTTTGGTACAATAACTCTGTGTATTCCTTCCATCTTCTTTTGATGCTTCCTGCGTCGTTCAGTATTTTGCCCATAGAATCCTTCAATATTGCAACTTGAGGCTTAAATTTTTTCTTCAGGGTACTTGAGCCAGTGGCCTGCCATCTCACCTGCTGATCCTGAGTTCGTCAACCCCTACAACTAAGTAAGTCAGGAGAAGCCTCCAGCCTGATGCCTGACCGATGGACTTGGGATTTGCCAGCCTCTACAATCACAAGCTGTTTCCTTGAGATAAATCCCTCTCTCTCTCTACACACACACACACACACACACACACATACACACACACACACAAATACATATACATACTTCACTGGTTTTGCTCCTCTAGAGAACCCAGCCTAAGATATTTATTGAGTGACAGAGATTAGGTTCTCTTGAAGTTCTTCTACATAAATAGCTACAATCAAGACACAGGTTCTAATTAGACTGAGAGTCTTTCTTTCTATTCCTCACTTCCCCCTCATCTTTTCTGCCTTCCTCCTCTCCCTCCCCTTCTCCCCTCTTCTACTTTTTGCTTCCCATTCTGCCTTTCCTTCTCTTCTTCCTCCAGAAAGTATTTCATTCAATAGGCAGTATGATAGAGGTTATAAACTTGGCTCCAGAGCCAAATCTTGGGTTTGAATCCAGATCCACCAAATACTACCCTATTATTTTACCTGTCTGTGCCTCCTTGGTCTATAAAATGGGTATAAGAGTAGGCTCTATCCGCTTAGGTTATTTTGAGGACTGAATGAGAAATACATGGATTGTTCTTAGAACAGTCCTGGCACATGGCTCAATGTATTCATTCAATCAATATTTATTAATCATCTACTATGTATCTGGCCTTGTTCCAGGTTCTGGGGATATAGCAATGAACAAAAAACAGGCACAAATTCCTGCCTTCATAAAATTTGCAAGCTAGATAATAAACAGACACATACAATATACAGTGTGTCAGATGAAGGTAAATGCTATGGAGAAATCCAGAGCAGGAGAGGGTGAGGGTGCCAAAGGCAGGTGAGGTGGGCAGATTATAGTATAAATATCGTGGTCAGGCAAGACTCCCTGAGACGGTGATATTTTAGCAAAGATCTGAAGGAAGTGAGGGAGTGAGCCATGTGGCTATCTGGGGAGAAGAAACGGCAAATAAAAACGCCCAGTATGTTCAGGGAAGTCTGGGTGGCTGGAGAGGAATGAGAAGAGTGAGCATGCAAATTCAAGGGCAGACAGGTATTGGCGGGTGGGGGCAGTCAGATATGGGGGAGGGCAATGCTGCAGATCCTGAAGGGCCTTGTGCTCCTTTGTAAGGACTTTGGATTTTACTCAAAGGGAGACAGATATTATGGTATTAGCTATGGAGGCTCTCTCGTATGCCAGGCAGTGAGCTGGGGATACAGCTATTAGCAAGATGGACAAGATTCCTGCTCTGTAACGGATTAAACTGTGTCCCCCAAAAATGTGTGTCAACTTGGCTAGGCCATGATTCCCAATACTGTGTGGTTGTCCACCATTTTGTGATCTGATGTGATTATCCTCCATGCTGTAAATCTTAACCTCTGTGATGTTAATGAGGCAGGATCAGAGGAAGTATGTTAATGAGGTAGGACTCAATCTGCAGGATTAAGTTGTATCTTGAGACAATGTCTTTTGAGATATAAGAGAGAAGCGAGCAGAGAGGAGAGGGACCTCATTACCACCAAGCAAGAAGAGCCAGGAATGGAGCATGTCCTTGGGACATATGTCCCTACGCTGCCAAGTTCCTAGACCAGAGGAAGACTGATGACAAGGACCTTTCCCTGGAGCTGGTGCCTCCTGAACTGTGAGAGAATAAATCTCTGTTTGTTAGAGCCATCCATTTGTGGTATTTCTGTTACAGCAGCACTAGATAACTAAGACATGCTCTCAGATGGCTTACATTCCCCTGGAAGAAACAATCAATATGATGGAGAGTTATTAGGGTAGATGGCAACATTAGAGAGGGTGATCTCTTAGGCAGTAACATTTTGGCCATTATATGAAGGAGCTAGCCATGGAGAAAGAACATTCCAGCCCATGGGAACAGCAAGAGCAAAGGCCCTGAAGCAGAAACAAGCCTGGTGCGCATGAAGGATGGCTAGAAGGCCAGTGTGGCAGGATCTTGGTGAACAAGGGGGAGGAAGCTGGCCAGAAAGGTAGGGGGCAAATCATACATGGCCCAGTAAACTAGGATAAGGGGTTTACTTTAAAATAAAACCAGTGGAGGTTTTTAAACAAGAAGCGTCATAATATGGTGTACATTTTTAAAGGCCACCTGGATGTTTGTTAGAGAATGGATTGTTGGGGCAAGAGTGTAGGGCAAAAGACAGGAAGGGTCTTGTTGGAGTGGTTCAGGCAGGAGATGATGGTGAGCAGTGGAGAAGGATGAATTGATTTAGATTATGTTTTAAGTTCACAACAGAATGATAAGCTATTTATCAAGTGAGCTAATTGTTCTTCACTTTTGCCCTGGCTCAGGAGGATCCTGCTGAATACCTTTCCTTTCCCCCACTCTGACTGGACCTTCTTGGGGCCCCAGGACCCCAGGAGACACTCACAGGCTGAGCCTCTTCACCATGCTCTTCCGAGGCTTGGGCGAAGTGGCGCTGGTGTCGGCAGCTGCTTCAATCTCACACGAGAGGGTGTAGCTGGGAAGGGGAGAGGTGTTTATAAGATCAGAGCTTGAGAATCAAGAAATAGATTTAAATTTACATGATTTACTTACATTATGTTTTAGAGGAAGGCTCTGATTATTCAGAGCCTGTGAGTTCTATTACAAATGCCAGAGGGCACTGACTTGATGGCCGGATTTTACAAATTTACATATGTGCCCCCTCCCCTTATCCCCACCACTGGTACATAGATTGAGGCTATGTAGTTCTGCAGGCCTCAAAAACAAAGATTTGTACAGTTGGGTAGCATCTAAATGAGACTCCATTCTGTTTTCTGCTCATTCTCATCCTACTGCTAGGCCAGGGGAAGAATTATTTCTTCTCTGAGGCTTCCCTCCTATTACTGTGTGTGTGTGTGTATGTGTGTGTGTGTGTGCGCGCAGGCACGCGTGCGTGCACGTCACACACTACTTTTATCCAAGGGAAATTGAAGAAAGAAATCTTTGTAAACTATCTAATCTTTAGTGAACAGAAATAAGCAATTATAATAATGTTAAAAACACATAAATGTGATGTTTTAATCGCCAAAATATCCAAAAAATGCTCCAGATTCAGACATCTATCTGCCAGGCAGACAGATTTGTTGGAAACACAAGGGGAATTCATATCTGATCCGAAATGTCTTTTATGAAAGCTTGTGGCTCTAGACAGTAGTTGTATGTTGTTCCTGGTAGGTGAGAAAGGGCGCATGTGGTGAATATTAGCTTGGTAAGTTGCTAATTATGTGTATTTTTTTTAACCTAAAGATGCATCCAGGTATTTGCTCAAGTGGAAGTATTCACTGACATGGCGATTATTCAAATATTAAGCTGTAGGAGTTTTTATAAATAGCAAGAAAGAATAGCGTATGTTTAACAAGATTCCTTTAATCATTACAAAGTCAATTACACAGCTGATCTTCTGAGCCTGGATGTTCTGATCCAAACCATAAGCCATGGTATGTATGGTCCACATATGAAAACAATATACACAAGAGATAAAGTTAATATACAAAAACTGACCATTAGACTAGGAAATGTGAAGGAGGCAACAACGGCCTTACTTTCTCTATAAGGAAAAGTTTGAATTTTGTTTTAATGTACTAGGACCAACCCAATCCGGAACTAAAAACCAAAAAAAAAAAAAAAAAACCCATTGCCATTGAGTCGATTCTGACTCACAGCAACCCTACTGGACAGAGTAGAACTGCTCCATAGGGTTTCCAAGAAGCAGCTGATGGACTCGAACTGTTGACCCTCTGGTTAGCAGCCAAGCTCTTAACCACTGTGCCACCAGGGCTGTGAACTAAAAAGGACTTCTGAAATAATTTGTTTTAAATGAGGAAACTGAGGCTTACAGAGGCCATGTGGTCTGCCCAACATCATGCAACCAACTTTGCAGCTTAGTTTGTAGAGTCAGGCAGACCTGAGTTTGAATCCAAACTCTGTCACTTACTAGTTATAATACTTCTCTAAACCTCAATTTCCTCAATGGCAAAATACTTATTTTGTTGTGAATTTCACTCTCCTTGGTGATAAACTGTAAAGGAAATCCCCTTGTCTACCGCAGAGATTGGCAAACTTTTTCTGTAAAGAACCAGATAGTAAATATTTCAAGCTTTGCAGACCATATGGTCTCTGTTGCAACTACTCAACTCTTTCATTAAAGCATGAAAGCAACCACAGACAAGATGTAAATGAGCGGATTGTGTTCCAATAAAACTTTATTTATGGACAATGAAATTTGAATTTGAAATAACTGTCCTGTGTCACTAAATATCAGTCTTCTTTTGATTTTTTCCAACCATTTAGAAATGTGAAAACAGGCAGTGGGTCAGATGTAGCCCGTGTGATCTAATTTGGCAACCACTGTCAAAAGGCTGGCAGTCTGAATCCACCAGCTGCTCTTTGGAAACCCTATGGGGCAGTTCTACTCTGTCCTATAGGGTTGCTATGAGTACGATAGGGTTGACTTCAATGGCAACAGGTTTTTGGTTTCGTTTAAACTACAGGATAAAGACTGAACCCCAGCCGAGACAACATGCAAGACACTGGAGTTAATGTACCTTTCCATGCTCATCAACCACTATTTTCAAACTTGCCCTTTGCGTCCTGGCCAGAACAGAGTTCACACTGTTCCCCAAATGCCAAGCATCATCAGGCCCCTAGGCCTTTGCTTATGTTCTTCACTCTGTCTAGAATGTTCTTCTACAGTTCTTCTCCTGGCAAAATCTTATGCCTCCTTCACAGCCCAGAGCAAATGTTAACTCCTTTATGGCATTTATGATATTTTCCCCATCCCCCATCTCCCCATCCTTAGCCAAATGAACTACTCCTGCCCATAGGTTCTTGTAGCACTTTAGTTACCCACCATCTTTTAATGCTTCATGAATCTCTCTCTCCCTGCAGACTGAAAGCTAATACCAGTTAACAACTGTGACAAACATGGAACATGGCGATGGTGGTATTGGTGATGATGAAGATAAACATTTTAATAGTATTTTTCCAAGTATCATTTCATTTAATTCTCACAAACAAACATTTAGAGATGAGTGTCCTGATGGTTGGAAAGAATAAGTGACTTGTTCGAGGTTCCAAAGATAAATACCTGGCAGGGCAAGAATCTGAAAGCAGAACTTTTGGTGCCATCCATTCAGCTCTTCCTGCTACACCATGCTGCTTTGGAAATAGAGGACACAGAACCTAGTAGCTGCTCACTATATACAGTGAGACCTGTGACAGCCAGAACTCAACAGGACCACCTTGTTTTTCCAGATCTCATAAGTTTTCTGCCTTTGACAGGGTGCGGTCTTACCACTTTTCTACTGCTCATTTTAGTGGAAAACTATTTGAGTTTTCCTTCTCTGACAGGTTTCCACCATATACAGGTTCTGGCTTTCACAGGTTTTACCGTAGTTGTTGAATAAGTGACCAAATAAGGAATTGGATGCAGTACTCTTCTTCTCAACACCTCAGTTCCACCGTGATGGACAGTACGTCAGCCTACCTCTCCTCCTCTGTTAGGAGCTGCTGCCTCTGGAACCACTGGATGAACTTTTGGTCTGGCGTCATACAATAGCTGTTGCAGGCAGATTGTAATAGCTTTATCTGGGCAATCACTTCAAATTCCTGAAGCAAACACAACACCAAAAAGAAGGAGTGAAAAAGAAAGCCAAACAAATACAGATCTTCTCAACATGAAAACATGCCACAGTAGGATAAACGATGGTGAAAACCACCAAGGATGACTTTGAAGCACTTCTTCCTTAGAAATAATATAGAGGAGTAACTCTGACAAATTCTAACTCTGAGTCTCTAAAGTCCTCCTATGCTCAAGTAATTGTCAATCCTCCTTTCTTCTTGAAAAACAATTTACATGAATAAAAGAGACTACCAGAGCAACCCAAACTAGTCACCACTGGATCATAATGATTTCCTTTATTTTTTTTTCATTTTCATTTTTGGGACAGAAATGTTATTTTTTTGAGGTTGAGTATTTCCTAAAAGATATGAAAATTTTCTATTTCTATTTCCTGAAAGATAAAGAAAAAAATGCTTTAAATAACAGAGCTCCCAAGTTTCCCCCACCCACCCCCTCCCTACCCCTCCATCTTCTTCCACTCTTACCCCTCAATAAGTAAAGTTTTGGTAGGGTTGAACATCTAAACAACCCAGGGCCTCATAAATTTAAATGTTTAAATTTCCTGGATCCTTGGGGTTTTACTACTCTAGTAAATCATCTAAGTCTTCTAAAACTCACAAGAGAAGCAAATATATAATTATGTCCAAAATTATTTATACTTCTTTAGATACTGCAATAAAGTTTGTTTTATGTCAGTACAGGTTTCAGCTTTAGGTTTAATACTCAAATTTTCCAAAAGTTTAAGAGCAAAGAGATTACCATCCACGGTTATTCTGAAGTTAAAGGACAGAGATGGGTAACCATGGAGTTTTTTTTATTATAGGACCCATGACAGAAGAAACTCAAGAATAGGCAGATTCCTTGGGTCTCAACTTCCCATCCGATGACCTCGGCTCTTGGTCTCAGTATCCTCAAAGAACATTTATCATCATGCTAAAGAAGAAAGTATACTCTACCAGGGCCAGAATACTTACGTTTGTCCAGGTTAGTACCCTGTCTGAATGATCTATGCCTGGTTAACTCCTACAGGCCCTTTTGGTTTTCACTTCAATGCAATTTCCTTCTGGAAGTTTCTTTGACCCCACAAGTTTGGAAGAGACTCCCTTCCAACATTCTCCTATAATGCTCAGTACTTCTACTCACAAGCCCTTGTCAGGATATATTACAATTGCCTGTTTACTTGTCTACCTCCCTTCTGTACTGTGAATTTTACAAGGGCAGGGAGCTCTGCTTTTTCTCTGTCATAATCTCCAAACCTATCATAGTGCCTGACTCATTTTAAGTATGCAATCACTATTTATTGAATGAATGAATGACTAAAGAACAGTGAGAGAACTATGGAGTGAAATTATTTATTTTGCTTACTCATTCCTCTTTTTTTTTTTTTTTAAGCAGAGTTCAGAACTGTTCTACTATCCACAGAGAAATTCAAATAGATATTGAACACCCCTTCCTATGCTGATAGGAAAGGAAAAAAAAATTACCCACAAGTAACAGTGAAGAAAAGGAGGCCCAGTGGCGCAGAAGTTAAGCACTCGTCTACTAACCTAAAGGTCAGTGGTTCAAACCCACCAGCTGCTCCATGGGAGAAAGATGTGGCAGTCGGCATCTGTAAAGATTACAGCCTAGAAAACCCTATGGGGCAGTTCTACTCTGTCCTATAGGGTCGCTATGAGTTGGAATAGACTCCACGGCAATGGTTGTTGTCGTTTATTTTTGGTTTAACAATGAAGATAATCTTCTTTCCTTTCTCAAGTAGACCCTCAAGAATTAATCATCTTTTATTTACTCATCGATGTTATTTGCTATTAATGAAAGCCTGTTTTCCTTAACAAGGTGAACCTGTTATTGCTGAAACTAATTAATTGTAAAGAAGCAGAAGAGGATCAGTAAGGGGAGAAGCCTGGGCTTCGGAGCGGGCTCCGGAGCGAAGCAGAACGGGATTTGGACTCCTGCTCTGCTACCAGGAGACCTGGTCAAATGATTTAATCTCCCTGACCCCTGATTTCTTTACTTTTGAACTGACGATGATAAAACGTACCTTCACATATTCTTGGGGGATAATACATAGGAATATGTCAAGCACAATGCTATATGATAAATGGTTAATGAATGCTAATATTTCTTTCTCTACATGCCAGATAAAGTAAAATGGAAAACCACAGCCAAGGCCTCTACTTACCCTTCTCCTTTTCTCAAAGTTTATCAGCCCACCCTGAAAGAAAAAAAAAAAACGTGACCAACAAAGCTACTTTGAAACATAGCCCTATGTTGTTCTAGGTCACATTAAAACAGATCAAAGGGATAATAAAGTCACAATTATTAATGAAAACTATAATTATGGCTACTATACAGGAAGAGAAGCATCTTTTGCTTCAAGAAAAACAGACATTCTTTTAATTATAATAGGGCAGGACAGGCAGATAGCCTTGTCTCAAAATATCTGAAACCAACAAAACAGTGATGATAAAAAAAGTTACAGATCAGAATCCAAATACATTTCCAGGCCAGTAAAGGACAAAGCTTGAGCAAATTCCCATTACACTTTTTTTCTTGACCCAAAGCAACAAAAACAGATGGCCACTGACTCATACTAGAAACCAAATTGTCGATGGTTTATCAAAAGGGAAGTCACTCCTACGTAGCACCATGAAGAGTTAAGTTTCAATTCTTCATCCCCCAGCTCCTATTCTCAGTAGGCTGAATTTAGCTTCTAAATCATTGGTCACTTCCAAAAAATTCCCCAGCACTGACAGGTGTTTCCTGAGATAAACTGAGGCAGAGGATGTAAAGAGACACAGAACTCAGGAAATGCAAAATGGACGAACATATCCACAACTCTCATGATAAACTTGGAGGTCAGTGTATGTTAAATAACTGCTACTCCTTTTAATTATGATAGAGTAAAAGCAGGTTGATTGCATGTGATAACCAAGGTGGTGGATGAACTTTAATATATAAGCAATCCTTAAACCTCATTTTAAATTTCAAATTTCTTCTCTATTGTATATTTTATAACTGCTACTAACAAGTAGCTTGCTTGATGGAATTTCACCTCTTTTCCCATGGCCTGGAAAGCAGACCAAGGAAGAGAGAGAGAAGATAGAAAACAGAGAAGAGAAAAACAGCCCCAGAGCAGTTAGCAATATGCGGGGGCGGGGGAAAAAAGGATACTTGAAGCAATGACAATCCACATATGTGACTCTGAGTCCCTACTCAGCTGGTATAATGGTAAGGGCATACTATCCCCTCAACTCTACCTGCCAAAGTCCTACTCAACATCAAGGTCTTGCTCAAACCCACTCCTTCATAAGGTCTTTTCATCATGTACCCTCATATGGAATTATGCTCACTCATTTTCCTTTGAATCTTTTTAACATATATTTAAATATTTGTTGTTAGGTGATGTCGAGCTGGTTCTGACTCATAGTGACTCCATGTACAACAGAACAAAACATTGCCTGGTCTTGTGCCATCCTTACAATCTCTGCTATGTTTGAGTCCATTGTTGCAGCCACTGTGTCATCCATCTCTTAAGGGTCTCAATATACCATTTGAACCCTCCCCTGTTTTCTTACTGCATTTTGGTTTGAATTTCGCTATCTATCACTACCTGTTTTAATATATCCCTCCACTGGATCTTTAGCCACTTCTGGTGTTATTCACCTTCGTATTCCTCATAGGGTCTAGCACAAAACTGTGTACATAGTGGGCGCTCAGTAGATACTAATGAAACAGAACTTTTCTCATGGGTTTTAAATAAGAAGGATGCAGGCACAATTTCACCCTTGCACACAGCTCACCTCGATGTAGTCCTGAAGAGCAGTATCAAGCATGGTCAGGTCAGTCAGGAAGGTGCCCAGGTAGGGCACAGTTCCCTGCATCACGCCCTGTAGAGCAATCAGAGCAAAACCATCTTTATTGTTATTGAGAATTTAAGGGTTTCTCAGGAAACGCCATAGTACAGCAAAGCCTATTCTGGACTAAATTTAACAACCTGCCCATTTGCAGATGGAAGAAGCAATCTTTGAACGGCCAAGTAAGACTTAACAAAATTTGGAGAATAATTAAGGGCCATTCAAGGCGTAATTTAAAGCCATTAGCTCTAACCTCCCTGAATAAAATTTTTAAAACTTCTACACAGATAAGATGGGAACTCCATCATCTAATGCCTAACTTTCAAACTCATGAAAATGAAGTCTCAAAGCCAGGAGACTTTACAAATATGTTCAAGTGTGTTCACAGTTGAGTTAGTATTTTGCTTAGGCTCAGGGTCAGGAGAGACACCCATTCTCCTTCAGAGCGTGTGGACACTCCTGGTGGTTTATAACGGCCCTGGAGAGTGATGACCTCGCCATCTGTAAAGAGTGGGCTGCTGCACAACAGAAGAGAAGTATGCACCACGAGAGTATGAGGGCCACTACTAAAATGGTCCTTTGGGCTAGACTTAATGACTCATTTCCGAAGAATAGAGGAAGAAAAGGGAAAAACAGTAACTTTAAAGTGGAAAACCTGGCAAACTCCACCTTAACCAAGTGATGAAGGTTAACATCACCAGTGACACCATCGACATGACACCAGATGGTCATGACGATCTCATGTACGCCCTGATATGATGTGAAGAGAAGAGCACTTCATCTCTGATATTCTTCCCAAAACCCATAACCCAAGCCTAACAACTAGAAAAACAACAGACAAACCCAGATTGGGGGGTCTTCTACAGGATACCTAGACAGGACTCCTCAAAATGTCAAAGTCATAAAAAACAAGGAAAGACTTAGAAACTTCCACAGACACACTGGCAGACCAGAAACATGTTACTCCCCAGGACACTGGGGAGACATGACAACTAAGTGCAGTGTGGTACATCGGATAGGCTCCTGGAACACAAAGAGGATACTAATGGAAAACTGGTGAAATCCAAATAAAGTCTCAATTTTAGTTAATAGTATTACACCAGTGTCAGTTTCTTGGCATTGACAGATGTGCCATGTTACGTAAAATATTAACACTGGGGGAAAAGGGTGAGGAGTTTACAGAAACACTATGGATTATCTCTGCAACTTTTCTATAACTCTAAATTATTCCAAAATAAAAACTTCGTTAGAAAAAAAAAGTCCCTTAGAAATGAAGGTGGAGACATTTCAACCTACAACCGTAGGTATACACTCTATTTATTTCACCAAATTTCCTTTGAACTCATCGCTATTCTCCATAAGGCCACAAAGTCACTAATCATTTGAACGGAAAACAGAGAGGCTTCCATGGGCACTTTCTTCTAAATCCCATCAAGGCACTTATGAAATCACACCAGGAAAGCAAAGTCTCAACCAGGGCAAAGCCAGGCTGCTGGACATGAGGCTGGCTGTTTCCTCAGCCAAAAATGCTTCATGAGGTACACACCAAGGAGGGATTTGTCCTTCAGGAACTCACTGTCAGCTGCAGTCTGTCCTCCCCATTATGTGTACAAGGTCTCATCCTGAACTAAAATAATATATTTTTTTTTTTTTTGGTAACCACTATTTTTAACTTGTCTTTGAACAACCAAAGAAGTTCGAAACAACATAAATGTTTTACAGGCTTTATGTCACAGAAGAGTCCTATCACTGGAAAACAAGGTTGCTGATCTATGTCCAGCTTTCCAAAGGAGGAGAAAAATCCTCCTCAAATTAGCAAGCAGGTATGAGCATCAGTGGTGTAGTTAGACTTCAGACTGATCAACTCCTTCAGACTGATCAATTTCCTCCCTCTTGTTTTCTGCCCTCTATGCTAAAAGATAGGAGTTGAAAATAAAGCTAAAGATGCTAATAACTATCTTTCATTTCTCAGTGCCGAGGAGGAGGCATGTTTAGGGTTCCATGTGCTCCCTGGCGTACTGGAAAACGAAAAAGACTTGGTTAGTCCTTGAGTTTTGAAGGAAGAGCTGGAAAATGACGAGGGGGTTCAGAACAAAGAAAAAAATCTGAGGACAAGGACCAAATCCTTGGCAATCAGGTCCTGGTCTACCATGCACCCAAAGCTGACTACACTACAGGCTTTGTCTGCTCTCTTGGCAAACCGAAGCCCAGGAGGCCACAAGGCTGAGATGGCAGCAGCTTCTAAGTGCAGATGTGAGCAGAGGAAAACAACAAAAGGGACAAAAGTCTACCCACTGCGGTGCTTCCCTCACCTCCAGGAAAAAACGCCCAGAAAACATGATTTGCGACTCTCAATGTTTGTTCCCTACTGGGTCAAAAGGAGATGATAGTATCTTTCCTATTGACCTCCCAGGGCTGCTGAGAACAAATGAAGTAAAGAATGGGAGAATCTTTTCAGAAGCAAGAAGCCCCTGCAGAATGAAGGTGCTGGTACCAGGCAGGCACCCAACCTCCCAGGCTGGGGCACTCTCCTGTGGGCTCTCAGGGAAGGATGGCTGTACGTACCATGTCTTTCTGGAGCTGAAGCCGCCTCTGAGTCCGCTTCTGGTTTTCTTTCACACTGCTGTCCAGGTTTGCAAACTTTGAGGTTCCTTCCTAGGAAACAGAGGCACACAAAAGAGGAGAGTGATGGAGGTGGACCCCACAGAGAAGTGAAGCACAACTGTCTGGATGTCATGTCAAAAAACAAAAAAAGGATATACTACTGATACACAGAACAACATAATTACACTGAGTAAAAGAAGCCAGACCAAAAAAATAAAAATAAAAAAGATACATATTGTACAATTACATTTATATAAAACTCTAAAAAACATAAACTAATCTAGTTCGACAGAAAGCAGATTAGTGGTTGCCTGGGACAGGGGTGGGTAGTGGGGGGTCAGGGATAAGGGAGAGATTACAAAGGGACACCAGGAAATGTATGGGCGTGACTGACACGTTCAGTGTCTTGATTATGGTGATAGTTTCACAGGTTAAAATTTTTCAGATTGTACACTTTAAATATGTACAATTTATTATATGTCAATCATACCTTTATAAACCTCTTTTTATAAAAGGGAAAAAAAAGAGGCCTCTAACAGGCTCTCTGGGCTATGTTATGCAAGTAGACAAATGCTTGAACCCTTGGCCAGCTTGTTGCAAACGGGCTATTTGTAATGAGACCTGGTGCTCTTGGATTATCTTAGTTTTCCCCAGGATTTATAAGAAGAGTCCTTGATTTAGTTATAAAATCAATCACCAATACAAGGCAGGCAATTCCAGGATCTGGTGGTAATTTTTACACATCCCAAATTCCACTCAATGTCATCACGTCCCAGAAATGAGATCTCCTCCTCCATACATTTTGTGATTTCTTGATCTTGGCCTGAAATGTTCTGTGAATGAAGAGTGACTCTTTCTGTGGTGTTTCTTGGCTAAACGAAGCTTTTGTCCGGAAGTTTTTAAGGAAGTCCAGTATCATATACAACACTAATTCAGGAAAGCTAGAACCTTCATTCATTTCTTACCTCTCTTTCACCCCCAACCAATCCTCCCAAGTGGCCTCTCAGATTTAGAACTCTGACAAATCAATCATTCCTCCTGGTGCCTGAGGACAGATGGCTGCCCTTTCTTTCCTCCCTTCTATTGTAACAACAAACTCTTCTACACAATGACTAACCTTAAGTTTGCTGACTGAACATAACTGTTTTCAGTTTTGTGGTTTCAGAGTCTAGTTCTCATTTTCCAGGAACTGTATGAATGGGAGGCAAATTGCACAATTCTGCAGTGTTTAACCTCTGATGCCTGATCTCTATTAGCTTTTCCTTTGTCAGTTCTCCCTCGATTTATTGTACTACCCTAGCATGTGCCCTTTGCTACTGTACAACTACAATTTTTTTTTTCCCCCAGGGCCTTGGCCTTGGGTTCAGAATCAACAGTGACTCTTTATCTATCTTAATCCTCCTTATTAAATGTGGTAATAAAGAGAGCTACCACTGAATGATCTCCTACTTCTAATTTTTCCCTAAGGGTGAATGAAAGTGGCCTAAGATGTGCCATTCCCTGGGCTTGGGGGATGTGAATCTTTCCTGAATTCTTGGAGAATTTGCTTGGAGTGAGAAATCAATGATGTCTGACCTGAAAGTGAGTGGCAACCTCTTTCCAATATGTAGGTCCTTCTGGTCTCCTTCAAGTCTCTTGATCATCGGTAGAGGTTATAATGTATGGAGATTACTGCTTATATATCTAAAATTCTTAGTAAGAATTTCTGAAAAGTCTAAAGTCTCACAAGAATCACAGAATAATAGAGACAAGAGGGATCTTAAAAGAGCACTAAAGACAACCTCCTCATTTGTAAGGAAGATGAAGATTGGAGATGGGAAGCCAAAAGACTTGTTAATTTCATGACTTCATAAGAATGTGATTCCATCCCTTGCTGGAACACTAAAGAGACTAGGGCCAGTTCTTCCTAACAAGTTGTCAACTGAGTATCCATTTATTTGTCACATCCAGTGGTTTCCAATTTTTCCTTCCTCTGCTCTGCAATATCTCACAACATCAATCCCTTGAAACTTCTTGAAACTTTTCACAGTTTTCTGTGACTGCATCACTGTGGTTCTCTCCTCCTGCCTCCTTTGCTGCTCATGTTCATGCTCTCTTAGTGACTCCTCTGCTTTCTGCCAAAGTCACCTTCTTGTTCTTGCTCTTCTTGTATCTTTGGAAGTATTATGCAATCTCATGACGTCAATTATCACCTATGTTTGAATGAATTCCAAATCCCTTCTTTTCCCTCATCTCTCTTCTGCTCCCTCCCTCTCTCCTCCTGTCTCTCCCCCTCTGTCCTTCTCTCTTCCTCTCTTTAATGCATCTCTCTCACCTGAGTCTTACCTTCTCTCTATCTCCATCTTTAGGGGAATTTAGCTGCCCTCATCCATCCTGTTTCTGGGCCTTGGGTGGGGAGTGGGGTGGGCGGGCTCTTCTTCTAGGGTACTACACAGGTATTAGATCCTTCTCAATAAATGCTTGTTAAATTATAGCTCAGAAACTAATGGTTATTGTAATTTGAACAGGTCTTCACAGTTTTAATAGCCTCCTGCATCAAATGACTCCTCTGGCGTCTGAATATTTAGCTCCAACTTTGACTTTAGTGTGTTTGAGAGCTTCACTGAACTCACATCTCCACCAGAGCCAAATTTCTGGGCCTTCCTAGAGGTTGTTTATTTTAATCCAGCCAGGGATAATTTTCACCAAGGGTTCCAAGAAGCAAGAAGATTTGATGGTGGTCTGCTTTCCAGTTATTTTAAAATTTGTGGACTCTATGATTTTGTTTATAATTATCTAAGTTTCAGACATCGTGAAGTAGTAATAGATTGAAGATAATCTTTATGAAGAAATAAAAACCTTTTTTTCAACAATTATAAGGAAAATCACAGATTTTTGCTAATTATTGTATTGCCTGAGTCATAGTATTACAGAGTGGCACATTATATCTACCTAGAAGTAAAAAAGAAGGATAGGTCATTTAAGACTAAGCTAGCCAACTATAAATCAGCATAAGTCCATATTAGAAATAGCGGTCAGTAGTTTTTCTTAGTGGTTCTTTTGAAAACCTAAGTACCTTCATTTCATTTTCAAAAACTGTACAGAGAATTTACACCCAGAGTTATAAACTTCATATGAAGAATGATCAACAAAGATGATTAGAAAGGGACATACATATACACATGGACTACTCCAAACATTCCACTATCGTTAATGACAATGCACAGACCCCATTCATTTACAGCCAAGTTTTTCATTTGAGATTTGAACCATATATAAAAAATTTAACTTAAGAGTGCTGGGGTAAACTTTCGTGTTGAAGAAAGGTTTACGGGCTCTTTAATGTCTAGATATAGCTTTGCTTCTAAGGTTTCAGCCAAAAGACCTCCACTAGGCAGCAAGCTGCAGAGAACTCAATTTATCTACTTTGGAAGGATGACTCAGGGCTATTGGGATTTGAATGTGTGGCTCCACTTAGTCTAGCTTTGTATTACTGACAGTGAACCACTGAGCCATCTCCTTCCAGCCAGCTGGATTTCCATTTAAAGTCTGCAAATCAGGGGGATGGGAAGCAGGAGTTACCCGATCTCAGCAAGCACTATTTAGTGTGCAGGTCATCAGGTAGGCCAAATACAAAGTCATAAACTGCCCTGCTCATATCATTGCCACCAAGAAGGCTAACAGTGGGCAAGTTGTTAAAGTCATGTGGATTATAAGATCCATCAAGTCATGCTGTCACACAATATTTTTGAACACTAACTACATGCCAGATACTGTGTTAGGGATTACCCAGTCCTGCCCTCAAGAGGCGTATAGGCAAGTACAGAGACAGACTAAGTACACAGGCAATTCCAATGCATCAGTAACAAGTATCAGGACAAAGGAATGATGGGCTTCTCCTGGAGCACATAGGAAGGCATCTACAGACTTGGGAGTAGATGGAAGGCTTCCAGGAAGGCTTCAAGGAGAAAGGGTGTCTACACTGACACATGAAGGATAAGCAGGACTTAGGAAGAGAGCAGTCATGAAGACCACAGAGATGCCCTTGCAGGATGACTAATCTAAGGGTTGTCAACTGGATGCTTTTTGTTAGTAACCCCACTTCCTCTTGACTGTCCATTCCCACTACAAGTGTCCTCTCTTAAGCTCACATATGCAGCTTATATTTTATTTACTTGCATTTTTTATGCATACTTGGGTTTCATATGTAGATAGCTCTCCAAATACTAAAAATTAAAAAATAATAAAGATAATAATAATTTAAAAATAGTGCTCTCAAATATCTTACCTTAGTAATCTTCAAAACAATTCTATGAGGTCAGTAGACCAAATACTGCTATTGTCTCCAACTTACAGAAAAGGAAACTAGGGACAAGAATCACATCGTTCAATTACACAGTTCAGGGCTTCCGTTTATGGTAGTAGTTATCACACTATTTTGGAATCGTCTATTTTTCTATCTCCTCCATAAGACTGTAACCCCCTTGAGATCAGGGACTGTCTTCTATACGGCTGTATCTTGAATACTTAGCACAGAGTGAGTTCTCTTCTCAGTTAAGTTTTGAATAGATTACTGATTTATCTTCTCTAAGAAGGTTTACCTGATCCACCCTGTCCCCTGTCCCCAAGTCATCAGAAGAAATAGCTTTGTGTCTAAGTGATCAAAGCACAGGTTTTAGAGTGTCACCAGGTGGAATTAACATTTTATCTTCACCACCTACCAGGTGTTGACTGGAGGCATGTTACTTACTTGAGTCTTGGCTTTCTGCAAAATGAGGATGCTAAAATCTACTTTATAGAAAGATTATGAGGAAAGTGGAGCCCTGGTGGCATAGTGGTTAAGGGTTTGGCTACTAACCAAAAGGTCAGCAGTTCAAATCCACCAGCCACTCCTTGGAAACTCTTTGGGACAGTTCTACTCTGTCCTATAGGGTCCCTATGAGTTGGAACCAACTCGACAGCACCTAACAACAACAACATGAGGAAAGTATCTGACCTATTTTAGTTCCCCTTCTAGTAATTTGCTCACAATCTGTTATTTTTACCTTTATTTGACACTTATTGTTTAGTGTCTATCTCCACCAACTAGAAGGTGAACTCCTAGAAGACAGGGTCTATGCTAGTCATCTTCATATTCCTAGAGGCCAGTCCAATGTTTTACAACCATTAGGCATTCAACAAACGTCTAAAGAAATAAAACGAACCAAGCTATACTTTACCTAGCAGGTAGTTGAGAAGTCAGCACTCAGCTGATACTCAAGAAATACCGCTAATGGACCACAATTACCACAGCCTCCACCAGACTGAGTCCAGCACAACTAGAAGGTGCCTGGCACCCACCACCATCTGTTCTGACAGGGATCACAATAGACGGTCTTGGACAGAGCCGGACAAAAATGTAGAACAAAATTCAAACTCACACAAAAACACTAGACTTAGTGGACTGACAGAGACTGGAGAAACCCAGAGAGTATGGCCCCTGGACACCCTCTTAACTCAGTACTGAAGTCACTCCTGAGGTTCTCCCTTCAGCCAAAGGTTAGATAGGCCTATAAAACAAACAATAACACAAGCAGTTCAACCATGTATATAAGACTGAACGGGCAACTTCTGGCAAAATGGCACTCTAGGCAGAAGCACCACGCCGTCCCTCCACAGCAAAGATCCGGAAAACTAAGCCGAACAGAGAAAACAACAATCCTGAAACCCTAAAACAACAAATGAAGAGATAAAGAACTCAGCCAAGCACCAAATGGAGTGAGAAAACTGACAGAACGGAGAGCGCGGAGAGATTCATGCAGAGGTCCCCTATCAGCTAAGGCAGCGCGGATCTACCATCTTGGACTCCTATCGGAGACCAGCAAATAGGGTACGAGAAAGCAGCTTCACGGAGCTTCCAGCGGGAGACAAAACAACCGGTAATTTGCGATATATGCTTTCATACCCCCACCCGTCTTCACCCCCACTCGGCCTCCTCTGCTTCCCGCGGCCACCATCTCTTGTCCGGGAAGCACCAGCTGCTTGGATTCCACCCACCCGAACGGGCTGGCTGAGTGCCATTTGTTGGCTGCTGGTGTTGCTTTTTTCCGCTTCTTTTGATTTCTTCCTTACCTCTCACCACCTCCCCCACCTTTCGCTCAAATACCTGGTTCCGTGCGCCATCTTTGCTTCTTCCTGAGGGGCTGCAGAGCTCCGGTAATTTGTGATATATGCTTTCCCACCCACTACCCTTCTTCATCCAAACTCGGCCTCCTCTACTTCCTGCGAACACAGTCTTTTGTCCGGGAGGCACCAGCTGCTTGAATTCCATCAACCCACACTAGTTGGCTCTCTGAGTGCCATTTGTTGGCTGCTGGTGTTGCTTTTTTTCTGCTTCTTTTGATTTCTTCCTTACCTCTCACCACCTCCCCCTCCTTTCACTCAAATACCTGGCTCCGTGCGCCATCTTTGCTTCTTCCTGAGGGGCTGTGGAGCTCCGTTCGAGTGTGGAGCTGCTTTCCGGTCTGGGCTGCCGCGCTGGTGGGATCCCAGGGCTTTTGTTCATTTGTTTGTTTTGAATTGTTTGTTTGTTTTCTTTTCCTTTTCTTGAGCTGGGAGCCCGTTCTGGCCAGGCAGTGCTGCGTGGCTTGGAAACTACCCCCTTGGCTTGCACAGACATGCAGAGGGATCCCTGAGGTCATTTCTTTTTTCGTTGGTTGTTTTTTTTTTTTTTTTTTTTTTTCCGTTTTTTTGGGGGCTTTTCTTGTTCTTTTTTTCTTTTTAACTTGTTTTGTTTTCTTTTCCCTCTTTTTCCCTTTTTTGTCTTTCTTCATTACTCAGTTTCTCGTCTCTCTATATCTTCCTTCTCTTTCTGTTCCCTGAATACCTGGCACTGTATACCTCTATGCCTTCTAGCCAGGCTGTACTGCAACACCTGAGAACAACTTTCCCAGACCTCACAGCCGCACCGGTGGGATCGCTGGGAACTTTGCTGTTCTTTAACCTTTCTGATTTTTATTTATTCATTCTTTTCTTTTCTTTTTCTTCCCCTTCCCCTTTTTGTTTTTCTCCATTTCATAGTGTCTCATCACTCCACTCCAACACCAAGCTCCCCTAGCATTCTTTCTTGTTTGTTTGTATGTTTTTCACTCCTGTTCCTCTCTCCTCTCTCCCATATCCATCTTAGCTCCACACATAACAATCTCCCCGCTACATCCTGCCTACATGCACCATGCGCTTAACATCACACCACCAAGCAGCACAGGCATGGCCTACTGGAACCTGCCCTGCACTGATTACTGACCCGCCCTGGTGGCTGTAGTAAGTGCCACAAACAACCCATCCCAGTAACTCCTCTTCAGCTATACCTGCCCTGCCATAC